ATTATTTGTTAAAATAAAAATGCCCAGCGAGTTTGTTAGAAATAGAAGTTTTAAGTTAACTATGTTAAAATTGCTCAAAATAATATAAGTAGGTACATAAGTTAAATACAATTGTTGTTACATAAATCTTAGATAGATACATATTATTAGTTAAAATAAAAACGCCCAGTGAGACTGCTACAAAAAGAAGTTTCAAGTTAATTTCAATTGCAATTCAAAATAATCAGATGACAAATAATTTGTCAAAATAAAAATGCTCAGTGAGACAGATAGAAAAAGAAGTTTCAAGTTAACTATGTTAAGATTGTTCAAAATAATGCACTTATGTAGATACATAACTTAAACAAAATAGTTGGTGTTATACAAATCTTAGATAGGTACTTATTATTTATTAAAATAAAAATGCCCATTTGGACTGATAGAAAAAGAAGTTTCAAGTTAATTACGTATATAGATTGTTAATAATAAAGTAAGTAGGTACAGTAGTTAAATGCAATTATTATTGTTGATTCTACAAATCTTATATACCTATAATTTTTATAATGAAAATGCCCAGTGAGTCTCACTGAAAAAATAGTTTCAAGTTAATTGTGTTAAGATTATAGAATTTTTTTAATGTTTTTAAATAAACAATTTCTGTTCATATGAATAGTTTGATTCAAAACCTTCAAAGTAAGTATACAGAGTGTCCCAAAACTCAACGATAACCTGGGAACAGAATGTTGCCTAGTTTGTAACTACCCAGAAAAAAATATTTAAAAAATCGGAGTCATTTTCTTTTTGTAATATAAGCATTTTAATGAAAAATGTTGAAAATGTACGCCCTGTACCCCATTTTTAAGTACTACAATTACAAATTTGCTAATTTTGCTGTTCTAGTTTTTGTAACGATAACACAGCTAATGAGCACAATGCCAAAGAAAGCCCGAATTACTCTAGTAAACTCTAGTTTCAGCACTAAAAAAATATGTATTTAATTTTTTCTTGAAATTTTTAGCAGATTTTTTTTTCAAGGTAACTTTAACACCCCATACAAAAGTTTAAAGAAGTTCTTCTACATCACTATCCGATAGTGACATGGACCTTTCTTTATTTGTGTTGAAAATGAAATGTGGCGTGACGCTTTTGGTGTCACACCGGCCGCCTTCGTGCCGCTGTCCCGTCACGAACTACACTCGGGATTGCTGTGTGGCATGCCCCGGCACGCATTCGCTTCCCGCAGGTCCGCCCCCGAAACGCTTTTCCCGCTATACCGCGTCTGTGTGGCCTGACCTTAAATGTACATGAAAGAAAAGACTTAAATCACCCGTTACATGTAATAAAAGAATCCGATTATAATAATACAAATAAATTAATAAAATATAAAATTGTAATAATATGGACTAACTTGAAGATAACTCAAGTCAGTGAGAGGTGATTAATTTGATTAAAATTTAAAATAATCGAAACAAATAAATATTGGCGTGATTGTTTAAGTTTTACTCTGAAACCACGATAAGAGTTGAATGAAGTACATAGGGCGCCCTATAAATTTCCGGAACTGGCCACTTACATAAAGAATATTTAAAAAGTAATTACAACATTTGAAAATGGAAGTCTTTTGCTGTAGAATACAGTTTGTTTCATCTGATTGTCACTTGTTTTTACATTGTGGCGTCATTTTAGAAATTGTTTGTTTACATCACCATGGATTTAACTCGTGAAAATTTTCGTAGTACGATTTTCTACGACTTTAAGTGTAATTTAACAGCTGCTTTTGGCGATGAAGCACCACGTAAGACGACTATTTATAGCTGGTTTGCAAAATACAAACGCGGTCGTGTAAATCTCAGTGACGAATTTCGTGATGGTCGCCCGTCCATTGCAGTGAACAACAAAAATATCGATGCTGTGCTGTGTGATCAAAACAGACAGGTATGTGATATACTATGAGGTTCGGGCATCTTTAGGCATAGGCATGGGTCATCATTCAGCCATGCGACGCCCACTGCTGGGCATAGGCCTCCCCCAACGAACTCCACGATGGGTCAAATGCAATCAATACTACACAAACATTTGGGTGTGAAAAAACTGTGGTCTCGGTGGATCCCACACGATTTGACTGAGGCTCAAAAAACGGATCGCGTCACTTGGTGCAATGTCATGCTTACCGTATTCAACGAAGGGGTGTCAATTTGGTGTGGAATATAGTAATAGGTGACGAAACATGGATTTATAGTTACAATCCCAAAACAAAGCAGCAATCGAGCGTAAGGGTCTTTCGAGATGAGCCGAAACCAACCAAAGTGGCGCGAGTGCAAAGTGCCTCTAAGCGGATGATTCCTTCTTTTTTTAATAAAACTGGACACGTGGCTACTGTTGCTTTGGAGAATCGTTGTACCGTGAATAGTGATTGGTACACGACTATTTGTTTGCCGCAAGTTATTGACAAACTCCGTAAAAATAACCGTAAAGGCCGTATCAACTTGCACCACGATAATGTCAGTTCTCACACGGCCAGACAGACAAATGAATTTTTGAAGATGAACAACGTTAACCTTATGAGCCATTCCGCGTACAGTCCCGATCTGGCACCTTGTGACTTTTATTTATTTCCAAAAAATAAGAACTAGTTTCGCGGTCAACGATTTTCATCACCTGAAGAGGAGTCGAAGATTATGAAAAATATGTTTCAGAGATTATCACAGATTATCATTCGTATGAAAAAGTGCATTAACGCTAACGGATAATATTTTGAAAAACAATAAATTCATTTCTGACCATTTATAGTATTTTTTCTTATTCATTCCGGAAACTTATAGTGCGCCCCAGGTATAAGCAAAGAACCATTACCGCAAATTTATTATTTTGTGCGACCACAGAAGAGTATGTATCTATGTAGGTCACTGAAAAAAAATGCTTAACAAAATTCACTAGACATAGAAGTAACTAAAGAGCAGGTAAACCCAGGATATCGGTTTCGGATCCCTGTGAGGCTACATGTATATTAGTAACTTCACTATCTATCCTTGCTGGATTCTCCGATTTATGTTATCTATATGGGCGCGCTGACTCAAAATTAGCTGTAAAGTGACGGTAAAGACCGTCTCTGAAAACGAAGAGCATATCATCAAAATTTTGTTTACAGGAAGACTTTCTTCTTTTCTAGCGAGTTTTAGAATGTGTTTAAAAAAAGGTGTACGAGCATTGACTTACAAATACATGGACGACGGGTCTAATGCAAAAACCACGAAAAAAATGTCCCAAGTCAACCTATTCGAAATTTAAATTGTTATGTCATCGCAGTATCGCGCTGTCCGTAGAACAAATGAAGACTAAAGCGGAGTGTCGCGCTCTGTATACGATTTTAGTGCCTTACAAGTGCGGACACTTTTTAGCGCGGACCCGACGTCCATATAATTGTAAGTCAATGTGTACGAGTATAAATTTTGTTCGTTATTTTTCTAATTGACGAAAATTTACATCGTGAAATTAAAAAGCAAAGAGAGGTAAAAGTTTTAATTGTAATATTAGGCTAAGTTTAGAAACGTTAGTGTTATATCATGGGTAAGTTTAAAAATTTACTAATAAATTATTTAATTTCTACTCGCCCGCGTTTTGTCAAAATAGTGTTGCCCATGTTCAGAGTATTTTCACCATACTGATCGATTTGGGCTTTTTTAGATTTTTTTTTAGATTTGCTTTAGATCGTTGCAACGTCTTCCTACAAAGTGATTGGACACTCGAAGCGAAGAATTCGTTAGCTCGGCCGCGCCAGCAGGTGCTAATCCAATAACCAGGTTGAGCATTTCTTCCACCCTTAGGGTAGATGTTGGTATTTCCGATTGGGTCGTAAATGTCCTCCGTCTGCATGGATAGCCTCGACGTATATCCTATCATTGCCCTTCAGAGCATTCCCGTCGTTACCCCAAGTAGATTCAGCAGGGTCTAAACCTATTTTATGAAATTGAATAAGTTGTTAGTAATAAAAACGATTACGAATCACTAGATTTGGTATAAATGGTTCTTAATTCTGAAATAGTTTGTCCGAGATGGTAGTATGAGATAGCGTGGCGACGAACCGCATGTTTACACGTTATCTCCGAGGTAAATAACTGCTGTTTCTAGAACATAATTGAGCATGTATGATCACTAATGCATTACAAAACTGTTACAACACTGACCTATAATTCGAGAAGCGCTATGCCCGCTACGTCTACCAGCGTTTCCAACAATGTGGGCTCCCAAACTGAACCCAACAATATGTATGTACGTTGTTCCAATTACTACCACCGGTATTTATAAGCCTATCAAGGAAGTTGCCGAGGTGCTCGAGGCACACCATTAGCTGCCATATTATAGGTAGAATTAGAAAGACGAATCGACAACGATGACGTTGCAGTCAGTTTTCATCAACGGGTCGCCTATGTTGTGTGTATGTGAATTCGATAGAAGCGTTCAAGCGATTTATAAGTTCTGATCTGTGTGTGTGGTCTGTGACCACATAAATACTAGTAATAGACTGCTTAGTGGGCGAGGCCCGCGTTACCTAGCTTATAAACAGACGTTCACATACAAACCAACGTCAACCATGGCTATGGGACCTGAAAGGGCCCGAAACGTTGGTTTGTTTGAAAAAACAAATGTACGCGATTGAAATCCGGTTTAAATCCGGAAAAATAGTTTCATTTCCTATATTTAGCGATGTAATTTTTCTTTGTGTTGACTCTTTGTTGTTTTGTATTTTTTTATTTTAAATAAATAGCGCACACAGTCAACATAGCCCGCACTAGGGAAACCCTGTGTCGTGGATGCCACGGACTCACAAATAGACAACCACACTCAGGACAGAAATAAATGTAGGCCATACAAATATTTCTCCCGGTCCGGAAATCGAACCTGGGATTTTTGCTTGGCAGTCCGGCATGGTAATCGTTCGGCCACGGAGGCAGATGAAGATTCCACGCCAATTGCAAACCACCAAAAACAAAATAACTTAATAAAAATAAAACAAACTCAAATTATATAAAGCTTTTTAATTATTTTATTAAAAATACGTGTTCATTAGAAGGGCCAAGAGCTGCCAGTGTTCACTCGATAAAGACCGGACCTGAAAAAGGAGAACATTCAGTTAACAACACACAATGAAAAATGTGTTCAGAAGAAGACCTACCTTCACGAAAGAAATGGGTTATTTAATAAGTACATAAACTTTGCTGGTTCTTAATTACATAAGAAAATAAATCTGAAATTGAACAATGAAAAAAGTAAAGATTGGTCATACATTTATGTGGTCTGTGGTCATACAGTTTTCAATGCCAATCAACAACATTTTGTGCACCTTAGGCGTTTCATTAAATTATTAAGCTTAGCTTAGGAACCTTAGTGTCATGTATTCTTTTTTATTTTTATTAAAAAGTAAGTGCGTATTTAAGTTCCATCTCACTTTATGGAAAGTGACGATGAGATCGACGATGGAGCATGCACACCTAAGTAATGTAGATGAAAAGGTAAATAGATCCAAGTTATACCGTTCAGGGAACAAGTCCGCAGGCAGGGAATTCCACTCCATAGCCGTTCGCCATATAAATATTGAAGGGAAACGGTTGGTATCCTTGTAATATCCACAACATAATGGTGGAAACCAAGCTTACGTCTAGTGTAGTCTCTCGGTGATAGAAAGAGGTAGGCGGAATTATATCGTACAACCCCCAATGTATGGACATAATTCAAGTTCTTACACCACAGTGACATGAAAATTGAGTAATGCAACAATTTCTACTTACCCGCGTTTTGTCAAAATGGCGTTGCCCATATTCAGAGAACTTCCAGTACACTGATTGTTTGCAACTTCAGTTAAACTGGAGCACTGTCTTCCTACGAGGTGATTTGTGCGGATAGTCGAAGCGAAAAATTCGTTAGCTCGGCCGTGTGAGCAAGTGCTAATCGAGCAACCAGGCTGAGGATTTCTTCCGCCGTTAGGGTAGAAGTTGGAATTTCCGATAGGATCGTAAATACCTAGCAATCCTCCGTCTGTGTGGATAGCCTCGACATATATGCCATCATTGCCATTTAGAGCGTTACCGTTGTTACCCCATTGAGGTCCAGCGGGGTCTAAACCTGTTTTATAAAATAGAAAATTGTAAGTTGTTGGTTATAAAAATGATTACGAAGCACTAGATTTGGAAGAAATGGTTCTAATTTCTGAAATAGTTTGTCCGAGATGGTAGTACAAGATAGCGTGGCGACGAACCGTGGGTTTACATAAATACTATACTTCATCAATTTATAAACTCTAATACAAACAAAACTATTGCAACACTCACCTGTAATTCTAGATGCGCGACGCCCACTCTGTCTACCAGCGTTTCCAACAACGTGAGATCCCAAACTAAACCCAACAAGATGTACGTTGTTCCAGTTGCCACCATGGTTACTTATAAGCCAATTAAGGAAGTCGCCGAGGTGCTGGCCGATACCGGGCACACCATTGACTGCTGTAGTGTACAAGCCGTTAGCAAGACCACGCCAATCGACAACGATGACGTTACAATCCGAAACATCTAGAAAAGCGTCTCTCACTATAACGCTAGAATCTGAGTTTCCATTGCTGTTCCATCCGTGCACGACCACTTTAAGAGGGCGGTTGCCAGAGTAGTGCGAGTTCCTGACTGAGTTGCCGTCATTGTGAATGAGAAGTTGATGGTTGTTTCTGTTGTTTCTATGGGTGAAAAGGTTCATTTAAAATGACTTTAAAACCAAAAAATATTGCAAAAAAATTCTACGCGTAATAGGTATTGAAATCTAGTCCAGAAATTGTAAGTGGGACTTATTTGTATACACATACATTATGATTGTAATTATACCTTGTAAACAACCAGTATTGGTTGTTAGCACCATTCCTGGAGTTCAGAACGGAGTGGTCTACAGGTGCGTGTAAGTCCACGAGGTGTGGCACACCGTCACCATCAGACATCCATATGTAGCGGCTTTCACCCTCTACGTAGTGGCTGTTGTCACCGGGCACAAGATTGGCCGGGAGAGCAGCACACACTAAAATAAAACAACTAATTTAATTACTTAAGCTCCGACGATACAGTGCATATTCGGCCTAAAATCGTAATTAATATTTAACTTACACGTTATAAGAAGAGCAAAAGCCACAAGGAACTTCATTTTGGCAGATTACCAAATTGTTTGTTTTTTCCAAGACATCAATTTATATATGCGTTGTAATCTCGCACTACGTCAATGTGGCTTTATCAAATTGTAGGATTTTTATTGATAGGTTAATTTTAGCTACTTTTGTGGTGTGTACCATTTTTTAGGGTTCTTCACACGTTAAAATATTTTATTACATATTCAATGTTTTTATCAGGGGTAAGTATTTCGTATTTGTCGGCCATTCTCAAAACAGCAAATTTTTCCTGTCCCCGTACAACATTAATCAGAACCACAAATATTTTTTTGTGTGGTGTATTCTTTTATCTAAAGGTATTCTTAAGCTTTTAGCTCTGGTACTTAATTGTTAAACATGTTCTCCAATTACCGTAGCTTGTCCGGACGCTAGCTTTGTCTGCAAAATTACTTCTCATTTTAGTCCGGGATGCATCACACCTGTGTCCATCGATTGGTCAGCCCGAATTAGAAATATCACATTAGAATTGGGAAGCAAATGTTATATTATCGAAATCAATAGTCAAGAGCATATATATATTAACCGATTTCGAGTGCAGTATTGTTAGAATCCATAGCCATTCCGAGTAAGCATGATATTGTGTATCAAAAAATGTAAAATCACACAATTTTGTACTGATAGCAAACATAAAGAAATTATAAATAAAAACAAAATAAGTTTGTAATTTACTTTGTACAGGCACAAGGGCAGCCCCATATCTTTCTACATTACTTTTGATTATGGTGACCCTCCGTACCGACCCTTAGCGGTATACGAAAAGGGCACTATGATCTGTGCGAGCAAAACCGCACAGGGACCGTCTAAATCAGGTTCTAACCCCGGATCAGCACGTTTGCACGTTTTGATTGTCGTGCAGTTTCCAGAGTCGTGGCTTGTATATTTAAATGACGATGTGAGTGCGGTCTCTCTTATATTGGACAAACAAAGCGAAGTATTTGTACCCGCGTCAAAGAACATATAGCTGGTGTCAAACACCGTCGCGTAAACAAGTTTGCAGTCTGCGAGCATGTCATGAATAAATCTACACATTCAATGAAGTTTGACAAACCCCAGGTCCTTGCAAAAGAAGTCCGTTATCTACCCAGGATACTGCGAGAGGCCATTGAAATTAAAAAACATCCTAATTTCAACAGGGAAGATGGTTTCTCCGTACCACTAGTTTGGAATCCAGTATTTCTTCTAATGAAAAATCCCAAACAGACATAAGACTGCAGTACTAATTAATATGTTTTACTTTATTCTAATTTCTATTACTAATTAATAATAAATTGAACTTAATAAAAATTCATTCAATATAATAATTTGTAAAACTTAATATAGCGTAAATTGGAATGTTTTCTTTGTAAACTTAAAAATAAGGTATTTAATTAATAACTATTGTAACTATCGTGAAAAAATACGGTGGTTTGCATCAATATTAGACATAACTGGTTGAAGACTGTACCACCTCAGTCAACCGTGACCATGGGACCTGTAAAGGGCTCGAAACGTCGGTTTGTTTGAAAAACAAATATACGCGATTTAAATCCGGAAAAATACTTTCATTTCCTAAGAGTATAATATAACAAAGAAAAGACACATGAAACACACGTTACAATGGACATATACAAAGGTGAGCTTATCTCTATAAGAGATCTCTTCCAGCCAACCCTAGCCGTGGTGCAAAAATGAAGTCTGCGGGACTAATTATTGTACAACAAATTTTAAATTTAAATGTGAATAAAATATAAATGATAATAATATACATACGACAGACATACACACATACATGAACTTTATATACATAAATACATACATAAGCAGAATATATATTATAATAACAGATTATTTGTTTACAAATATGTTACCTATAAACTATCTAACGCGTTCGACAGGAAGTGCTCTCTTAATTTGTATTTGAAAGATGCCACCGATGGACTGTCACGAATGTTAGCAGGTAGTTTATTCCACATACGAGCTGCACTTACGGTAAAAGAATTGTGAAAGAATTTGGAGTTGGATTGGGGATATAAAAGTGTTCTAGTGTCACAGGTACGTTTTGGGCGGGAATTGGGGGATAAGGGGGAAAAACGGGAACACAGATAATGAGGAAGCTGGGGGTGATTTAAAATTTTATGAAGACAAAGAACGTGCATATCTCGGCGAAGTTGGATTGGGAGCCATTTCAATTTAGTCCGAAATTCAGAGATATGGTCATATTTACGTAAACCGAATATGAAACGGATTGCCAGATTTTGTAGGCGCTCTAGTTTGTTAAGCAGTTCCTCAGTAATATCCAAATAACAAACATCGGCATAGTCGAGAAGAGGGCGTAGTAGGGACTGAGCAAGCATAACCTTGGTGTTGAACGGTAAGAAGAATTGAAGCCGCTTGAGAGAATGATAGGAAAAGTGCATGCGTCGACTAACCTCATTTACCTGTGGTCTCCAGGACAGTGTGCGGTCGATTATCAGACCCAGGTTCTTTGTGTTTTCAGCATATGCAAGACTCACTCCATCATACGAGACCTTGGGGAGATTATTAATGTCCAACCTGCAGTAAAGTCTGTTGCTATCTACAATTATTGCCTGTGATTTTCTAGGGTTTACAAGTAAACCAAACGCATCAGCCCAAGACTTCACCACAAGAAGATCCTTATTAATAGATTCAATGGCAGATTGGGTATTGGCTCCATCAAAATGTCTATAAATTTGCAAGTCATCTGCGTATAAGTGGAATGGAGGAGAAATTAATTTAGTGAGCTCATTTATGAACAGCGAGAAGAGAAGAGGTGAAAGTACACCACCCTGTGGCAACCCTGAAGTCAAAGGAGACCAATCGGAATAAATGTCATCATCCCAGATCCTTTGATAGCGATTGCGGAGGTAATCCGAAAACCAAGCAATTGCAGCAGGGGAGATGTTAAGAGAGCAGAGAATGGCAAGGAGGATGTCATAGTCGACAGAGTTGAAAGCACTGCTGAAGTCCAGCAAAACAATAATGGTAAACAACCTGTTATCCATGGCGTGGCGAATATCATCGGTGACGTTAAGCAAAGCAGTTACAGTGCTATGACCAGGGCGAAAACCAGATTGATACGGACTTATAAGTTCATGACGAGAGACATATGAGTGAAGTTGTTTATGCACAGTGCTTTCAAGGACCTTGCACAGGAATGGTAGGATGGAGATAGGACGAAATTGGGAGAAAGCCGTGGGAGTAGCGGATTTAGTGATGGGAATGACATGAGCTAATTTCCAATCGCTAGGAAAGAAGCTGGTTGCAAGAGAAGTATTCAAAATGTGTGTGATAATTGAAGCAACGTCATCCAGGATAGGTATCAGCATGTCGCGGCAAATGCCATCTTCACCCACAGTCTTGGAAGTTATGGATAGGATACTCTTCTTAACTTCCCCCTCAGTGATTTCGCGAAAAGAAAAAGGTACACAATCAATTTATATCAAACACGGGAATTGAAAACACGTAACGTCATCTTAAATGCCAACTGTCCTCATTTTACCATTTTTGGAGTACCCTTTGCCATCCGTATCCGGTTGTCAAAGGGAAGTACATGAGATGTCAAAACCAAAGTTTTATTGAATTATTCGTTTGAATTGTAATAAATTTGGACAAAAACATGACAGTGAGAACACTTAAGTATTGATTAAATGCGTCGCCGCGGCATTAAGGGGTGCGGCAGTAGAAAAGGTGGAAATCAACCGAATGTTACATTACATCGGCATGTGTTATTTTTTTGTCTATAAATCATACAATAAACCGAAATATCTCATGTAGTTAGATTCATTTAAGTAGTTTATTCATAAATCTTGCCGAATTTTGCTTTGGTTACTTTGGATTGCCTGTTTGTTAGTATATTTTGATGATTGTTGATAATGATTATTTTGAGATAGTATAGTTCTTGTAAGTATAAATATGGTCGTTATTCTGTTATTGAAACAATTCACTACGAGGTTTTTTTTATTTCATTATAATTATTTTTAGAGTTTACTTACAAATGAAAAAAGAAAGAAAGAATGGTTGAAAATTATAGCACTGCCGACCATAAACATTGGATCAAATACCATTTTCGTTTGTTCGCTCCATTCAAATTTAAATAGAACTTTGAATGTAACTAGATTACACGATAAAGCAATTCTACCGTTACATTTATTGGTAAATAACATTATATTTAATTTTGATTAAAATGGCTCATTACTTGCCTAGTAATATAGTATGATTAATACTAGACTTAATAGTCTAGTATTAATCATACTTTGATTACAGTAAACTACACAAATTTGCAAACATGAAACACAGTAACAACAGTTTCAACATTCAAGCCATACATTTGCATGTCGATATTGACTTATCTATGATTATGGTACAACACTAAATCCGCCATTTGTGGTGGACATTTTTGGTTTAGGTAGGGACGTTTATTTCGTAGATAAGGGAGCTCCTTTCCTTTATTTTTTTCCATCCTCTAAGTGTCATTTTCTCGAAACTGAAACGGTATATCAATATTAGAATTTAGTTCACATATAATAAACAAGATGACAGTACTTTTAACTGAATTTGACAATAAACTAAACAATAGTTTTATCACAATACCAAGATTCCCACCAAGATTGTCCCAGGTTTTCGCGGGAATTCGGTGGTAGTTACGAATCACGCTACTCATAAGAAGTGAAGCATTTTAAAAGCTTCGCAATTCGTTCGTTTTTTTCGTCCATCATGCATCTGTGACTGGTAAGAACAGGTGGATGATTTGTTGCCGATTTTAGGACTTTTTGTGTGTCAATACGTGCTTCGGTGAATTTGGTCCAGGTTGATTTTTGAATTCGGTGTATACGTATATTTCAAAAACGAAATTTTATGGTTGCGTATGGTTACGTGCAATATTTTTTATACTATGTTTTATAACGACTAAAATATAATAACAATTTATTGGTTTTACAAGTATTGTCGTTTACGAGTAATATCAAATATATATACATTTTCCGAGTCCCGTGGCCTTGGATT